GCTCTAGAGGACCCCGGACTTTGACGGCGCCGTCGCCGACGCGTCGGCGGTGCTCGTCAAGGAGCCCGCGAACCTGAAGGCGCTCTACCGCCGCGGCGTCGCGCGCCGCGCGACCGGCGACCTCGCGGGCTCCCTCGACGACCTCGACGCGCTCCTCGTGCTCGCGCCGGGCGACCGCGCGGCCGCCGCGGAGAAGAAGGCGACGCGCGCCAAGCTCGACGCGAAGAACAACGTGAGCCGCGTCAAGACCAAGGGCGTCGTCGACCTCTCGGCGGCCGCGCCGCGGCCCCGCGAGCCCAAGGTCCAGGCGCCCCGCGCGCCCCTCGTCGCCGACGCGCCGCCGCCGCCGCCCGCCGCCGCCGGGGACGCGGCCGCCGCGCCGCCGCCGCCGCCGGTCGCGGCGACGCCCGCCGCGGAGAAGGCCCGCGCGGACAAAGCCGAGGAGAAGCGCGCGGCCGCGGTCCGCGCGGCGGCGAAACGCAACGTCGCCACGGCGCCGAAGAAGGCGCCGAAGACGGCGACGGAGCTCGAGCTCGCCTGGCGCGACGTGTCCAAGGACCCGAAGCTCGTCGCGGCCTACGTCGCGACGTTCAAGCCGCTCACGCTGAAGAAGATCGACGTCTCGCTCATGTCCGAGGTCTTCTCGCAGCTCATCCCGGCGCTCATCGAGCACCGCGCGCCGCCGGAGGCCGCGGCGATCCTCGCCAACGCCGCCAAGCACAAGGGCTTCGCGGTGACGCGCGCGCTCCTGTCCAAGGCCGAGACCGTCGCCGTGACGCTCCTCGCGGCGAAGCTCGACGACAAGGACCTCGCCAAGGACCTCGCCAAGGGCTACGGCCTCGGCAAGTGACCCGGGGAATTTTTATCGCGGCGCCGGCGCGAGCGAGACGCCTAACTTGCACTAATCAACATGTCGTCAACTTAGAAACTCCACAGCTCGCCGAAGTGCGCAGGAGCTCTTGTGGAGCTCGAGCTCTGCTGAGAGCGTGCCGCGCGACGCCATGGCCACGCTCGTCGACGCACAGCGCTGCGCGGACCGCAGCGTCGGCGTCGTGGCCTGCGAGGATGGCGTGGCGCCGGGCTACGTGCTGCTGAGCGTCGCCAAGATGGTCTACCTCCTCGACAGCGACGGCCGCGTCGCGCACTCGTGGACGAGCAAGCGCACGGTCTTCGTCGCCTACCTCTTCAAAAACGGCGACCTGCTCCGCGACGGCAACGAGCTCGCGCTGGCGCCGCAGTTCAAGGCCGGCGGCGCGGCGGGCTACGTCGAGCGCGTGACCTGGGACAACGAGCCCGTCTGGAGCTGGTCCGCGCTGCCGCGCTTCAAGTACCTGAGCCACCACGACCTCCAGCCGCTGCCCAACGGCAACGTCCTCGTGCTCGTCTGGGAGCGGAAGACCAAGGAGGAGGCCGTCGCCGCGGGGCGGCACCCGGAGCTGATCCCCGACGGCGAGGTGTGGAACAACCTCGTCGTCGAGATCGAGCCCAGGGGCGCGCAGACCGTCGAGGTCTGGCACTGGAGCCAGTGGGACCACCTCTGCCAGGCGCACGACGAGAGCAAGGCGAACTACGTTGACGATATCTCCGAGTATCCGCACCTCATGGACATCAACTACTGTCCGCCGGGCGGCAAGGCGAAGTGCCGCGGCGGCGGCCTGAAAGCCGGCGACCACAACGCCACGACACTCGCCGTCTTCGACAGCGTCGGCAAGACGGGCGAGCGCGACTGGATCCACGCCAACGCGGTGTCTTACTCGAAGAAGGGCAGAAACTGCGAAGGTTTGGTCGTCGTCTCGTACAACGTGCCCTGCGAAGTCATTATTCTTGCGCACAGAAGGTCTGGTACGGGGGTTGCGGTATCTGACCACCTTTGCCACGAAGAGGGCATCCTCTACCGCTTCGGCAACCCGCTCGTGTCGCAGCGGCCGCCGGACCGCCACCTGCAGACGCTCTTCGTCCAGCACAGCACCGTCGTCTGCGACGACGACGAGGATCCCCAAGTCCTCCGCCTCGTGCTCTTCAACAACGGCCGGGCCCCGGACCGCATGTGGTCTACGGTGGATGAGTTCGCGGTCGACATGACCTCGACGAAAAGTCAATGCGACAAGTCGCGACAGACGTCGAAAACCTGGACGCACGAGAAGACCTGGTCCTTCGGCCGGCCGGCGGGCCACCTCGGGAGCTTCTACAGCCACCACTCGAGCGGCGTGCGCAAGCTCGAGAACGGCAACGTTTTGGTGACGCTCGGCCCCCAGGGCATCTTGTTCGAGGTGACGCGCGAGGGCAAGGAGGTCTGGCGCTACATTTCCCCCGTGAAGACGCCGCCGAGCGAGGACGAGCCGCACTCGATCATCAAGCAGGGCGCCCAACGAGGCGCGGGAAAATTCGGCCTCTTCTTCGCGGACAAATATTCGGCGGCGCGCGTGCCGAAGCTCGGCGAGCTGGAGGAAGGGAGCGGCCGGCGCCTCGAGGGCCCCGACGAGGCGGACCACCGTGACACCGTGGACAAGTCCGTGGACGACCGGGGCCGGCCCGCCGCGCGCGCCGCGCAACCCGCGCAGCCGCAACTGCGCCACCTCGACGGTTCGCTCCAGCGCGCGGCGCGCAAGTCGTGAGATCGCCGCCGTAACATTTTACTCCTCGCCGCGCTCCTGCTCCTTAGCGCGCATCTCGAGCTCCTCGGGCGTGGGGTCGTAGAATTCCTTCGGCGGCTTCCGCGTCGTGTCCTTGAGCATCTTGAGGGAGACGTAGCCGTGGACGGGCCGGGCGATGCCCATGCGGTTCACGTTCTTGCCCTTGTCGTTCATGGTGCAGCACTGGCGCGCCGCGTAGACGAGCGTGCCCTGGGGCAGCTCCGCGACGATATCGGACGTCATGCCGCTCGTCTTGCGCACGACGCAGCCGTTCTTCGCGCAGACCTCCATGATTTTGCCCGGGTTCTGGCCCGAGCCGTCGCCGCCGTCGGCGTACTCGAACTTGTAGTGCCGGTCCCAGGTCACCTCGAAGGGCGACGTCGCCTCGCCCCGGGCGGAGGACACGCGCGACTGCGCGGCCTTGGAGTGGCGCGCGTCGTAGCGCTTGCGCAGCGCCGCGACGGCGGCGTCGCCGTTGGCGGCCTTGTCGACGAGCGTCAGGGCCTCGCCGTTCGTGAGCGCGCGGAGCAGCCGGTGCGCGTAGCGCCGGAGGCTCCGCCGGTCGCAGACCGCGGCCTTGAGCGGGTGCGCCAAGTCGCCGTCGTCGTCGCGGAGCTGCTTGACCTCGTCGGCCAGGGCGCCCTCGAAGGCGACGTAGGCGTCGAAGTCCCGCGCCGCGTCGCCCGTGGGATGGAAGGCCGCCACGCCCTTGACGTGCTTCTCGAAGCGCTCCTCGAGGGCGCCGAAGTCGATGCCGGCGCCGTCCCAGGCGACGGGCTGCGTCACGGACGTCGGCTCGTCCTCGTCGTCGCTCGACTCGGGCGCGTAGTCGCCCATCGTCGATCGACGACGCCCGTGGCGGAGGAGCTGCCCTCTCTGGCTGCAATTAAACTGCAATGCGAACGGCATCAGGCCAGTTTGCTTCTGCCAAGGGGATCTTCAAGTATCTGGGGAGGCGACTACGCTGCCTCGAGGCGGGGCGACTATTATCCGGTCTGAGCTCCTCGGCAGCCCATTTCAGACCTCCCTCAGACCTCCGGGTCCTGGCTCCGTTGGGCCCCGCCGTGGCGGCGCTTCGGTCGAATGGGTACGTAGACCGCTTCCCCAAAGCGATTTCTTCTGGGAACACGTTTTGGCTGCGCACGGGCTGCCGCCTGTTCTAAGGAACCCCTCGAAGGGCTGCCTGCTGCCTGAGTTTGGCGGGGATCGTTGATCTTTTGGGCCTTTGACCTGCCCCATGACCTACCCGAGCCATCGAGGCGAAAATATCAACGATCCCCGACGGCTACGACCCGACGTCGCGCGCGCAGCTCCGCGAGCACCTGTTATTGCCCCGCGGCGAGGTGATCCACGACGTCCCTGAGCCCATGCGCGTGCCG